ATATATATATATATATATATATATATATATATAACATCTTATATATTTATATAAGTAAATATTTTACCTGTTATAGACAGATCTGCATAATTGATTCAACCTTTATTTAGACAGGTTAATCCCATTGAGCCACGAGGACTCATTTACAAGACAGACCTGATATTCAATTCAATTCAACTCAATTCAAAAATACTTCATTAATCCCAGAGGGAAATTAAATGTTGTAGCTCATTTTCCTTGTTTCATAAAAGAGTTGTTCTAGATGTTGATGGTTGTGGGCGAGAAGGATCTCTTGTGATGGTCCGTCTTATAGCAGATCTGAAAAAAACTGGCCACAGATGTTGATCCATTTACTTGCACTTGGTTGGCCTCCTGGGCTTCAGGATCACCTGAATGTTGGGCAGAAATCCTCCCAGGGCAATGGCCACTCCTCCCAGCAGCTTGTTGAACTCCTCATCGCTGCGGACAGCCAACTGTAGGTGCTGATGGACGATCCTGTCCTTCCGCTGTCATGAGCCGTGTTTCCTGCTAGTTCCAGGATCTCAGTGGTCAGGCACTAGAGCACAGCTGGCAGGTAGGTGAAACATCCTTTTCAACTCATTTGAAATTTAGGGATGTAGTTGAGATATTACTTGAGCTTTTGAGATGTTAATCAGCTGATGTTGGTTGTAGAAACTGCCTTGTTGCCATGGTTACACATCATAACAAATGTCCAAAACTAAAAAAGTTTCAGTAAAAATCCTTCCAGCTGCACAGCATCCGATACCAGAGGAAACAATCATCCAAAAAATGCGATTTACATCCAGAAAAAGAGGAATTAAAGTTTCCAAAAGCAAAACCTCAGAATGAAAGTAACAGAGCTGCTCCAACATGCAGCCACCTTGAGTGGCGCAATATTCTGACTAGCTTTAATATCTAATGGCTTGCGTTGGTGAGACAAAGGCCAAAGCGGATTTCTAACTTTACAACGGAGCCTACATTTAAAAAGCTCTGGAAACTATTGCTTAAATATCATATAATTTTTTGTAATCATGCAATTAAACGTATTGTGTTTTAAATGTACAACTGTACAATCATTTGTATTTACTGGCCAAGTGTGTAAGTACACACAACAAATAGGTCTTTGGATTGGGGTGTCTTGTGAGTAGTTTAATTTAAGAACTTATTTACCCGTTCTACACAATATACAGCCAGTGTGCTTAAGGTGAGTCCACAAAGTGTAGGAGAAAAAAGCAAAATGTATCGGTCAGTTCAACTGTGATGGACTTGTGACCTGTCCAGGGTGTCCCCTGCCTCCTGCACAGTGACTGCTGGACATGGGCACCAGTGACCCCCGCAACACAAAAAGGAAGAAGCGGGTAAAGAAAATGGATGGATATATAGTCAGTTCAATAATATAGAGCAGGTGTAAAAACAAGTGTGATGACTTGAGGGAAAAACTTGCTCTCGTGGCAGCTAAGCTTGGTCTGCAGATGTCTGAGTCTCCTGTACGTTCACTTTATATTTATAGTTTACTACCATTTCCATAAGCAGCATAAGCTCTAACAAAAGTTGAAATCGAACTAAGAGTAAAACCATAACAAGCTATAAAAAGTACACGCTCAGCTGAAAGAAGATAAAACCATACTGTGCATTTTGTAAAAGTTGTTTACTTACAGAAAAAGACAAAAACTGTCTTGTTGGGGTTAAAGGCCACTCGTTCTATAGTCATTCCCACCAGTTCCTTCACAGGCTTCTTGTCCCACTCTTCAGGAATGGGCTCACTCTGCATTTTGGGCTGATAAAACATAATAATACTCAGGGTACCTTACCTTACCCCCCACATGTGTCATGTGCCATGGAGCATATAAGAGTGTTACCTTGGCGTTGCCCTCGAGGTAGGACTGACAGAACCGCTCGATAGTCTCATCGTTCAGGGTGTCAGATGGCAGCTGGTAGGTGACATGATCTGTAAGGTTGACCAGTCGAATAAGGGGGGCCTCAAAGTCCCGAACCCGAAAGTACTCCATGAGTCTGCCATTACGGGATTCATCCACATTCACCAAAACAAAAAGAATCTGGCACACAGACACACAAATACACTCAGGATTTATGCTTTGTAAATATTTATGGGTCAATAACTTTAGAAGATATATGGATGCAGTTGGGCAGCACGGTGGCACAACTGGTAGAGCTGCTGCCTCTCAGTGAGCAGGTCCCTGGTTCAAATCCCGGTCCGGGGGCCTCTCTGGGTGGAGTTTGCATGTTCTCTCCGTGCATGCGTGGGTTTTCTCCGGGTACTCCGGTTTCCTCCCACAGACCAAAAACATGCATGTTAGGCTGATTGGTAACTCTAAATTGTCCCTAGGTGTGAGTGGGAGAGTGAATGGTTGTTTGTCACGTTTGTCTCTATGTGGCCCTGTGATGGACTTGCGACCTGTCCAGGGTGTACCCCACCCCTCGCACAGTGATTGCTGGACATGGGCACCAGCGACCCCCGTGACCCAAAATGGAATAAACGGGTAAAGATAATGGATGGATGGATGGATATTCTTAAACACACATTTAAATGTCTTCTTCTTTTTTTTGGCTTTTCCCTCTTCAGAGGTCGCCACAGCGAGTTATTCTCCTCCATCTCACTCTGTCCTCACTCCAACTACCTTTATTTCCTCTCTAACTAAATCTATATATCTCTTCTGTCTTTCTCCTGGCAGCTGCATTTCTAACATCCTTCTACCAGTATACCCACTGTCCCTCCTCTGGACATGTCCAAACCATCTCAGTCTGGCCTCTCTAACTTCATCTCCCAGTTGTTCAACCTGTGCTGTACCTCTGATGATCTCATTTCTAATCTTATCCAGCCTTGTCACTCCTAAGGAGAACCTCAACATTTTCATTTCTGCCACTTACAGTTCTTTCTCCTGTCTTTTTGTCAATGCCACTGTCTCCAGACCATAGAACATAGCTGCTCTCACCACTGTCTTGTAAACTTTTCCTTTGACCTTTGCGGACACCATTTTGTCACAAATCACTCCTGAAACTTTTCTCCATCCACTCCATCCTGCCTGGACTCTCTTTTTCACTTCTTTACCACATTCCCCATTTTCCTGGACAGTGGACCCCAAGTACTTAAAGTCCTGCACCTTTGTGACCTCTGCTCCTTGTAGCTTCACTGTTCCACCGACCTCCTTCTCATTCACACACATGTACTCTGTCTTACTACGGCTGACTTTCATTCCTCTTCTTTCAAGTTCATACCTCCACCTCTCCACGTTCTCTTCCACCTGTTCCCTGTTGTCACCACAGATCACAATGTCATCTGCAAACATCATCGTCCACAGGGATTCCTGCCTGACCTCATCTGTTAGTCGGTCCATCACCAGAGCAAACAAGAAGGGGCTCAGAGCTGATCCTTGATGCACCCCCACCTCCACCTTGAAGCATCTGTCACTCCTACAGCACATCTTACCACTCTCCTGCTGTCCTCATACATGTCCTGTACCAGTCTAACATACTTCTCTGCCACTTCAGATTTCCTCATGCAATACCACACCTCCTCCCTCGGCACTCTGTCATATGCTTTTTCTAAATCCCCAAAGACACAATGGAGTTCTTTCTGACCCTCTCTGTACTTCTCCATCAGCATCCTCAAAGCAAAGATGGCCTCTGTGGTGCTCTTTCTTGGCATGAAACCATACTGCTGCTCACAGATAGTCACCTCTCGTCTAAGTCTTGCTTCCACAACTCTCTTCCAGATCTTCATCGTGTGGCTCATCAACTTAATTCCCCTGTAGTTGCTACAACTCTGTACATGACCCTTGTTTTTAAAAATGGGCACCAGCACACTTCTTCTCCATTCCTGAGGCATTTTCTCACCCTCAAATATTGAGTATTTAAATGTAAATGCCAAATTTCTCACATTGATTCCTTTGTTTTATATGTTGTCATTATGCTTAAAAAAACATTATATGCCTGGCTGTTGTGTTATCGCCAAACTGAGAGAAAGCTGAATAAAATCTAAGCTTTATCGCTTCAGGTTGGGGGTTGAGGGTAAAGCCTTTAACTGCAGAAGAGTTGTGTATTAAATATGAATCTATCTCTTTCTTTGTGTGTGTGTGTGTGTGTGTGTTGTGTACCTTCATTCTGAATGCCTCTGCAGCACTGTTGAAAGCAGAGAAAATCTCTTTAAAGCCTTCAGAGCTTTTGTTGACAAAAAGGAGAGCGTGGTTTAACACAGGGGAACTTAAGATCTGAGAGGCTGTCTGAAGGACGAAAAGGAAAAAAGAATCACACTAAACACCTTGATGGCATTTCAGCAAGTCCAGACTACAAATAACTCAACAAACACCCAAATATATATATTTATTTAATTTTTTATTTATTTATTTATTTACTTATTTTCAAAGTGGAAGCAAGTATTCTAACAAGATTATTTGTCAAAATTATTCAGTTGAAGCGCATCAAGCCTTGTTTAAAGTACAGGTCAGTGTAGGTGGATGGAACAAAACACTGAACTTTAACAAGAAATGTGACTGCCATTTGTTTCATTTACACTTCACAGGATTCTATCCACATCATAACATGTGCAGTAACTGTCACTGGCAGAGTTTACCTTCTAATATTTAAAAAAAATACTGATACACCAAATCACAAACCTGCTTGTGGCTGGTCTGTCTGTTACACACAGGTGAAATTTTTCCATCAACAGTCCTACCTGCCCGTTGTACTCAGTGACCAGGTCCATCTGGTAGACTGAGATAAAGATGATCAGCTCCTCTTTTGATGTTTCAGGTTTCATTTTGTAACTCTGGATGAGCTGAGACTGCAACACATAGAAAAATATACAGTCACATGGGCAAACCCCATGGATGGATGGATGGATGGCAGAGCAATCACATGAAAATACAATGCACAACTTGATTTTATGTATTTATTTATTTATACAGGGAGTCTCATTGAGTCACGAGAACTCATTTTCAAGAAAGGCTTGTTTGGGATCAGATGACGGAGGTTAAGGGCCTTGCTCAGGGGCCCAGCGTGGGGCAAATGAGGGTGGAGGGAGGTGTGGGTGTTTCACCTTTTCCACCAACATTTTGATGTTGTCAGTTCAGGGAATTGAACCTGCAACTTTTCAATCACAGGCCCATCTTCTCTAACCTCTGTTCCACCAATGCAATATATTAGATAGATAGATAGATAGATAGATAGATAGATAGATAGATAGATAG